GGTCAGTTAAATATAAGGGTGTCAATATTTGACACGACCGAGCTTGCGTCCCGTGTCGGGTCGGGTCAACCCGACGGGTTGGGTCCGAGTCTGTGTTTTCGGCCCGTTTGCCTACCTAGGTCTGGTTAGAGTCAATCCAATTGAACCCGGGTCAGTTCCGAGTTCGACCCGAATCCAACCCGTGACCTGAAATTGACACCCCTACTTAAATACATACGGCTGCAAAGGGCTACATCACTTGGAGATTAATGAATTTCTTGGAGTAAGGCCAAACACATAAAATCAAGATCATTAGATCTCGACAAATCAAAAGAAAATTAAGCCGCAATTTAAATGATAAAGCTAATAACCACTTATCTACATGAGCTAAACTAATTAAATCACTAAACATCAAAGCTACAAATTTTATCACTCAATGTACAATGGTGATTACAAAGATCTAATGCTAAATATGCAAACTAAATTTTAAGCACAAAGGAGTTATTATACTTTACGCAAAAGCATATGAATATGAATTGCTCTAATCAACAAGTTAATATTTAAAGCCCAGACAGTTAAGTAAATATGCAATGAAATAAATCCAAGTTATAAACAAAAATATTGCATAATAAGATTTTAAATGGTTTTACATTCAATCATCCTACATTCAAGCCTAAGGCTTTGTTTGGGACGTTTTTCATAAGCAGCTTTCTATTACCAAAAATATAATTTTTATGCTAAAAAGCTGCTTTAAAAAGCAGTAAGAAAGCTATCCCAAATGAAGCCTAATTTTTACTTTAATTAAGATTCGACTATCAGACTTTCTCCCGTTCAGTCTCTTGAATATGAGGAGAAATCTCTGCAAATTCTTTCGTAAAGGGAAACAACACCAGTTACTTGCTCCTCAATTAGTGCACCTCACACACTAGCTTTGCCACAAAGCTTTATCAAGCTCCACTAGATTTGGCACAATTAGAAAGGTTACAAATAAAAGCCTATGTAAAATTGTTCTGAATTTTGATGGTGAAAATGGACAATAATCACCTAATCTAATGATACATTCCCTTTGATAAATTACAAAATACACAAAATAAAAACCTTTACATAAAGCCTAAAGAGATTGAATGAGAACAAATTTTGCCAAGAAGAAAGCCTCAAAGTTGAAATAGATGAAAGCTTTTATCTTTTCATGGAAAGCCCTTTGAATAATTTTATCAGGAAAGCTCTTTTTGATTCACAACTCCATTAGATTTTTTCTTTTTTTCAGAATTCTCTTTAAAATAACTTTAAAGATTATTAGAAATTTTAACAAATAGTCACCAAAAAAGCATGACAGAAAACCTAAAAGCTCCCAAGACTAATCAACTAGTCTTTGCTAGCCAATCACAATACATCAAGATCTTAGTGGATCCACCTTGAAGTGACACTGGTGAACTTAGGAAATCAAAGTTAAGATAAATTCATTAAGTACAATAAAATATATAATTAGTCATAAGTAATAATTAAATTAAAAAAATATGCAGATTTACTGAACTTTAAGAAACATTTAGAATTGATTGAATTTTCAAACAACACCTAACTAAGAAATATTGAAGATATTAACATTAAGCTTGATATATCGTCAAAAAATTATCTTGATCAGGTGTGAATCTCGTTGCAAATATGAGTTGGAAACTTCAAAAATTAAAATTGGGACCATATGAACTCCGATTTTAGTAAACTTATAGATAAACTAAATGTCTCAAAGAGACAAACCTAACGACAACAAAATAGGTCAAATCTAAGCCCAAATGGGTCTAAATCGAAGGCCATAAACACATTTGGAAGGTTCAAGACATAAATTTGCTAACCAAATGATATACAAATATGGCATTCCTATAATCGAATTGAGTGGCTTGACGAGATGAATCAAACGGGCCCAAGATTGCCTAATTCTAACGTTATTTGGGCACATAAATGCTTACAAATGCTCTATGATTGAGGGGATTGATATGGGCAATCCAATGAAGCACTTCGAATTTACTCTAGATCTTCTCCATTTTTACAGGGCATGCCACTTTCAAAAATCTATAAATAGACCACCACTTCTTACATGAAAAATGGGGCTTTAAGCCTTTGGGAGGAGGAAGAGGAGAAGAACTCTAGAGTTGAAGAATCTTGGAGCTCCACTGCCAAAAATTTTGTGCCACCATTCTGCCACTGATGAACCTATGGTCGACAATGACCATCGAATCTCCAAACCTATGGTCGACAATGACCGTCGAATCTCCATATGGAAGATACTAACAAGTCTTCCTCCGATCACTATTGCTCGACTATGAATCTTCTGACCACTATTGCCCGATTACGATTCTTCTGACCTCCGTTACCTAATGACTGTTGTCCTTCGGACTACCATGGATTGACTACGATCTTTTAGACCACCGTTTCCAAACTACGATCCTTTTGACCACCGTCACCCAACTATAGTCCTTCTGACCATTGTCGCCCGCTGACTACGGTCCTTCCAACCACCATCACTCGAGTACGATACTCCTGACCTCCGTCGCACCCCAATTACGGTCCTTTTGACCAACGTCACCCGACTACAGTCCTTTTGACCACTATTGCCCAATTGCTGTCCTTCCGACTACTATCACTCGACTATGGTCCTTCGGACCATTGTTGCCCAACTACAGTCCTTCTGACCTTCATTGTCCGACTACGATCCTTCCGACCACCATCGTCTGCCTACTACGATCCTTTCGACCTCTATCATCCAAATACAATCCTACCAACTAAAGGAACAAGTCAATGCTTTTAAGAACAACTATCATCAAATCAATAACGAGTCAATTATATGGGCTAATAGGATCAACATGTTTATGTTTCCTATTAATTAAAAAAAAACTTTTTCCATGAAGAAATTGAGTGCAAGCAGCAACACCCTTACAATAATTGTCGAAAGAGCTTACCAAAATTTCATAACAAGTCTTTTTCTCATTCCATATTTTCTTGTTTAATGCTTCAGTTAATTTAAAAAACAATTCATTTTTTTATCAGAACCATGTACATTACTTGGTTTGATGAAATCTTATGAGATTTTTGTTATATGAAGCCATAAATCTTATGAGACACCGCGTTGATGAAGTTGGAGATTTCTTCATTCATTGGTGACTAGCATATATGGATAACGTATTATTTCGGCAAATCATCATCAATTCCTCCAATTGAGCTACATATTAAACATCTGGGTCTCCCATACAACATATTGGTAGCAGCTCAAGACTAAAATGTCAATTAGTGTACCTTATTTCATAATTCTATACACAATAAGCATAATGAGTTGCATAAACTTAAAATACATACAACAACAACATCAAGCCTTTGTCACGTCGGCTACATGAATCATTTTTCGTCATTGTGTCCGGTTAAAAGTCAAATTCTTATTTAAATCTAACAAAAAAATATCATTTCTAATATTTTCTATCCAAGTCTTTTTAGGTCTACCTCTATCTTTCTTAACATAAGTCGAATCTAATACGTCAACTATCCTAATCGGGTCATCGAAAGGCCTCCGTTTAATGTCACCAAACCATATAAGGCAGTTGTAATCTTATCTTCCACTGGAGCTACTCCAACCTTTTCACGTATATGCTCATTTTGTATCTTATCTCTAAGGGTCAAGCCACTCATCCACCTAAGCATCCTCATATCTGCAACACTTAACTTAGTATTATGCTTCTCTTTTAGTGCCAACATTCGGCACCATAAAGCATTGTAGGTCTCACAACTATCTTATAAAATTTTTCCCTTAAGTTTGAAGGGGACTTCTCTATCACACAATAATTAGCTTGATGCATTCCTCCACTTCAACCGTCGAACTTGAATTCTGCTGATAATATCCTAATCTATTTCACCATAACTCTAAACAAAAAAACCAAGATATCTAAAACATGTACTCTTATTAATGACTTGATCGTCTAAAGTAACAATCCCCTCACTAGGGTTATTGTTGCCAAATGTCTAGTGAGAACATCCATGACTAAAGCAAAAAGATATGGACTTAAGGCTGATCCTTGATGTAATCCAACCGAAATAGGAAAATATTTGGTCAAACCACCTTGTGTTTGAACACAAGTAATAACTCATGCATACATATCTTTAATGATTTGAATATAAACGTTATTAACTCCTTTCTTTTCAAGAACTCTCCATAACACTTATCTTGGAACTTTATCATATGCTTTCTCTAAATCAATAAATATCATATGTAGATTCTTCTTATTCTCTATAAATTTCTCCATCATACCTCTCAATAAATGTATGACTTCCATAGTAGACCTACCCGGCATAAATCCAAATTGATTTTGAGAAACATTAGTATCACGCCACAACCTACGCTCCAATAACACGCTCCAATAGTTTTAAAGTATGACACACTTAAAATACATAACCAATCAAAAAATAAGAGACATTGGAGGTTACAAATGAAATAACAATATTTGTCATATTACCTCTATTGTTGAAGCCAATGAGTGATTATTCAAATAAAAAAAGCCATCAAAGGGAAAATTATTCTATGTGATCACTGAATCATCTGGAAGTGAATCAGGATGCTCCACATCACCCTGTACACAACAAAAAAGTGACATAGTATGTCTTAATTCACCTCTGGACGGCGTCCAATAACCACACATAATAATTTCTCCAAAAGGAGAGAATGTAAGTGTAACTGATGTCGAATTAGAGGTCATAATCAAGTTAATTATAGGATCAAGAACCCATCACTTTACTGTAGTTTAATTTATCGTGTTATGTCTGTTATGACCATTCTCTATTGTATCTACCTTGTTGATCCTATTTGAATCATATTTAATAATTATTCAACTCATGTTAAATTAAGATTTTGTTTGGGATGACTTTTAATTTTTTACTAAAACTCTGTTTCAGAAAGCAATAAAAAAGCTATCCCAAACGAAGACTAAATTTGCCATGTTATGTATGATATGATCAATATCTAAATTTGTTGTGTTATGCCGAACAATAAATCAATCCTATTTGAACCAAAAAAATTTCTAACAATATCTTATCGTAATCCTATTTGAAATTTATACATCTGCTGCTGCTGCATCAGAGAATTTAATTCCATGCAGGCATAAGATATTCCCATACAAAAGCAATGGCTGCTGCATTGGAAGCAAAACGGCATTCATGGGAGAGTTGGCAAAATCTGAAAGTTATTATACATGAAATCAAAACTTTAAATAAAGTCTCAATATTATAGAGAATAGCACAAAGACTAATCTGGCCAATTCCCAAACCTCCCCTTCTCGTTTTGCCACCCAGTGCCTTGGCCCTCCCTGGTCGCATCGCCGGAGGCCGAGAATCTAGTCCTATTAAGTTGCAGTGACAATGGCGGAGGATGAGGCGGCGGTGGTGGAAGTGGAAGAGGACTGTGCATTTTCCCTGGTAAAGTAGACAAAAGGCTCTTGTTATCAATGTGATTTCCAGAGCCACTTTGCTGTTCAGATTCCTTGCCTGTTGGATTCAGCAAACCCTGACCAAAATCACCTTGGAAGAATGCCATTCCTCCCTGAGAATCTGCTGGGTTCACAAAGCTGTCGGAAATTGCTTGGACTAAAGGCATGGGAGGAAAGGGCATGCTCATAAGATCCATACCCCAAGGTCGAGCGAAATTCTCTCGAAAGCCAGATACTCCTGTAGGAGCTGGTGGAATCCCCAACACCGATCCTTGATCGGATCCGCCCTCCGATGGAGCAGATTCAGCTCGCGGCATCTCAACTGGAGCTCCAAAGAATGGCTGGGATCCATCTGCTGGGAAAGAGGGGAAGTTAAATGAGGCTGTGATTAGAGGTTGGTGGGGATTGCCAGGTACTGGGTAGTTTGGTTGGTGAGGAAGCTGAGCTGCGAAGTTGGGGAACATGGATTCTGGGGGAGCCCCTGCACTCCTTTCTAAAGGAAACTGGTCAGTATCTTGCTGATACTGTGTGCTTCCTTGGTTGTCAATGCGAGGGGGTGGAGGGAACCAGTTGTAGGGCCGATCGGAGAATTGAGGTATGTTGCTTTCCGATTGCATGTCGCTTGGCTGATGTGACTGGGAAGAAGGAAAAGGCGGTGGGCGTACTTGCAGTGGAGGTCTAGAGTATGACTGGTCTCTCGATGGAAGGCGATAGACTCTGTCTTCGCGATCCGGAGGCATAGAATTTGAACTGGGGGAGAAACCAGACCTCGCTGGAGCTCGAGCAGTTGAGGCTTCTGGCAATGGCGACTGCTTCTGCACATCAGCTGAAGTGGGCCGTGCAACATTCAAATTATTAGTTTCACTGCCACCTTCCTTCTCTGCATTAAACTGAAGAAGATCAGCATGGGTATCATGGACATGGGATTCAAATTCAGCCTTCTTAAGGAATGATTTCAGGCAGTGAGGAGCAGCACAGATGAAGATACCCTCCAGCATTTTAATAGTTTGGATCTTCTGAACACGTTCATCACAACTGCAGAATATAGATTAAAGTCGTAAGAGAATCCTCCATTTTTTCCAGAATATGGTAAGCAAGTAATCATACATAACAAGTTATTATCCAAAAATAAGATTGATGAATTTCTGCTCATTCGTAATCACTTGTAGGAGAAACTATTTGGCTGCACCACAAGGTTAGAACTCCTAGAAATAAAAAAGTATCTTAATAATTCCACAACATCAGAAAGAATAGCATGCCTGTGGGTTGGCATTTAATTTATCACAGAAGCCATAAATATCAAAATTATCTCTAAAGTTAAGCAAAAGTTGGCTGATACTGGCATAAAATGAACTGGAAGAAGTAATTAACTTCTTAGTTTTAGCTTGTTTACTTCAAATACACAATAAAATTTATTGATGATAATACATGGTCAATATTGGCAATTATAAATAGCTAATAATAGAACAAATCAACCTGAAAAAAAATCATTGATAACCAGCCAAATCCTACAAGGAAATCAAGTCGCATTTGGAGGTAGAATGTATGAACATCATGTACGAAATGTATCCGTTGGAGAAAAAACAATATATTGCAACAATTTGGAAGGGGTGTTTGTAACGCCCATAATCAAATTCGGAAGAGCTGTCTATTTATCATTTTAGAAATATATCAGAGCTTCTATAAAAAATCAATATAAATAATAACCAGCGAACACAACTAAAATCATATACATCAAGATATTTTACTACTCATTCACTAAAATGTCATTTACACTTGCCAAGAGATCACTATAATCACTAATCTATCACAAGTTCCTGACTACAAAAGAATAAAACAAAATACATTACAAAATCAATTTTTCAATTAAATAAATTCTTTTGAGGATTTAAAAATTATAGACAAATATTCATAAAATTGCATATTTTATTTAAAAAAATACTGGTGAAATCAGTTTATAAAAAGGAGACTTGTCGGTTCCAAAATCCTCACTTATACCGACATGTGTCAATTTTTTAAGGATTTGCACCAGTGCTAAAAAATTATGAAAAAATTCTTATAATTAAAAACTGCAATATCTATCTTATGGCGAAGACGGTTTTAAAATTTGACTTATAATGATTTCTAAAAAAACTTATTTATTTGAAACAAAATGCAGTCTATTACAGTGCTCTCCTCCTAGTATGCAGACTGTAATTACTCATTAGAAAGAGAAATGTTCCACAACTGCTCCGTTCTAATAGGCTTAAACGCATGCATCCAAAGTTATAAAACATTGATGGTAATATTGCAAAAAAAAAAAAAAATGGCAACGGAAATCTGCAAAACAGTCATAATGACTCACAGGGGTTGAATGGATACATTTGACTTTCCTTCATCATCAACGAGCTTATCCCAACCATTTGGGATCAGCTGCCTCATGAAAATCCTCTTTTTTCCAGCCATTCTATCATTGCTACATCAAACTTTTCACTATTTTTTGCATGCCATTCACAACTTCTAGATATCTCATTGTGGTTGATCTACCTCTTCTTCAACCTCATCATTTCCATTGTGATTGATCTACCTCTTCTTCAACCTGATAATTCCATTTAATTTTATCTAATTTTCATTTTCTACAATCCACTATGCATACCAAAATCAAGTGAGTCCATTTTCTACTCTCCCTCAACTGGTGTTATTAAAACTACACTTCAAATATGTAGCTGCGATATATCGACTAGCCATTCTCTCCAAAATTTTCTTCCACGTAGCTCAAAATGCAATTAGATCACCACATGCCATCACATAACTCTCGACACACAAAGACATCTCTCTTTCTCAAGCATTCTCCTTGATTTTTGGGTATTCTTCACTTCTTATTGTCATGATTCTTATCCCAACATTTGAACTAATCGCTGGATTATAATAGTTTGGAGATGATCTATATAATTTTTTGACATTTCCATATGCATGTGTACTCGCTTTGGATTTATTTTTTAAATTGGAGATGTCATTGTTATGATCCAAATTATATATATATACATAAATGTTATTTATAAGGGTTTGATGGTCTCAAAGTATTAGATATGGGACAAATTTAGTGCAAGTAAGGATCTGACATGGAAGTATACAGAGTTAAAATAAGAGGTTTTTTTTTAGTTTCTCAACTCCTTATCTACTTGATTTTGAGATGATCTACAAACTTATTTGAAAAGTTTAATATGTACGTGCACTTTTTTTGGGTTTTATTTTAAATTAGAGTTGCCATTGTTATGATGTAAAAATTTGGTATATATTGTTATTTATGAGAATTTGGTTGTCTTAAATTATTAGATACGACCAATTTTAATGCTAGAAGAAGGATCAAACTTAGAAGTATACGAAGTTAAAATCCGAGTAAAAAACTCTTTATCACACATGTATTTATTGTGGTAAGGAAACAATGGAGATGTTTCTCCAGACAACGAAACAATCATTGGTTCTATTAGTTCATCCAAAAAAAGCAATGGGAATCATTGGTTTCTTTAGAGGCAAAGAAAGAGCTTTGCTTATTAAGTAGGGCAATAAAAATTGAAAAAAAAAATTACGCATGGAACATAATCAAATATTCAAGGTGTAATGAGGAATCTTGCAAATTAAGATATTCAAATGCCCGTGTTTATTGAAAATGTGATTATTAGAATTAAATATTAAGATAGTAGGTATCAATATACCCAACATTGGGTTCAAGCTCCCTAAGACGAATGGTCTAATGGGTCATTTCAAGCATCTAGAACCTAAAAAAGTAAAAAAAAAAAAAAAAAAAAAGGCACATAAGAATCAAAGAGAACTTGGATGAGGGCTTAAGGGGTAGGACAATACAATACATGCATGTGCGGAAATCGACATCCCTTTCAGTACAGTCATGTTCAAGATTTTTTAACATATTGTAGAGGCTATTGATCAATATGGACGGAACCTTAAACCCATTTATTATCATGAATAAAGAATACCTCTTCTAGAAAAAAAAAATCCATATTTAAAGTTAATTGTAAAGGAAAGAAAGCTAAGAAGATTATTCTCATAATTATATTTTGAAATTGCATGAACTTGAAGGTTACAAGCACATTAGTGAAGATATTGATGTTAATCTGTTAGACCGGTCCACTGGACCGGTCCACCGGTCCGCACGGGACCGGCTCAGACGCGAAACGTCGCATGATCTCCGCCTCCTGCGGAGATCGGGCGGGCCGACAGCTCAAACGGAGCGTTTTAGGAAGGATTTTTGGGGGGTTTAAGAGAGAAATTTGAATGTAGGGACTGTTTAGGGAATTCCTTTTGATTTGTATGCATTAAATAGTTGATTTTTGCTAGGGTTTGGGCATCTTGAATTTGGCTGAAATTTGAGATCTCTTAGATTTAGGTTTCTTTGGGCTCTAGCGGCGTCTAGAGATTTGGGAGAGATCGATCCTCCTCTCGAATTGAGGATCAATTGTAAATTTTTCAGAGCCAAGTCACACACCATCGAGATAATTTTTAGTGATATCTAATTCAATCAAAACATGAGCAATTCAAGATCGCGATCCGAGCAATTCAGAGTCGCGATCCAATTGAAGTAGCATTATCAGTTTTTAACGGGCGACCAAATAACGATCCCAAATCGTGAAGGATATGCTGAAGGTTAGAAAATGAAACCCATATAGGGATGATGGGGGGTTCCACAGCAATATCATAAAAAGGATCACTTGATCAATTTCATAAATTAAGAATCTGTTAACAAAGTAAGAACGATCAATGAGAAAAAAATTCTATTGTCATCAATGTGATCATTCACCAGTTTAATCAACACATGCCTTTGGTATAAGAGAGTTGCCAAAAAATCACTGATTAGCATGAGATTAAATAAAAATTTACAGATTGAGTCGAGAGCAGGTCTATGACAAAAAAAATTATCAATCAATGCAAATTCGAAAGAGGCTGTAAGTTCAAGGATCTCATCTTTCAAAATCCACATAGATGATAAACCATGATGGGTAGTGGTTTTAAGGTCAGGAAAAGCCACTGAAGGGGATGCCCTAACAGGGCGTCTAAAAATGAACGAGAGTTCTTTTGCCCATTTAAAAAATGAGGATCATATAACCGATTGACCACCATTAATCAAGCTATAAAAATGACCTAAGGTAGACAAATCATAAGAACAAAAACAAGAACAAACGAGAAAGCTATGGAAGAGGAGCCAAGGAGGAGAGAAACAACTTCCGTAAAAGGGAAGCAAGCATCGAGGGTCATAGGCAGACTGATGCCAAGGAGGGAGGCTACGGCCTCTTGTCGTTTGAGCTTCGTTGATAGGAAAGTTCTAATTTGATCAACTTTCCACGAATGTTATTTAGCAAATTTTAGATGATTTGGAACTAATTAAAATTTATTAGTGATGTGGTGCTTTTATATCAAAAGCATATTATTTTTGTCCTTAATGGTGATTATTATTTTAAACATTCTTTAATGAGATTCACTTGAATATTAAGTATACATATTTGCTTAACATAAATGAAACATAACTCAGATGTATTGTATCATCAAGAATTCACTGTCCACAATATATTCCACTAACTCAAAACGCTAAAAATACTTCATAAGTAATCAATATTGGAATCGAAACCAAAAATTAACTTGATAATATATTTATGCTTCCTATGATTTCTTCATATTGAATTGTTCAAATTTTATAACCAACAGGGACACTCCTTAACATATTTGATAATCATATGTTCATTAAAGAATTTGGTGATCCATTTCATTAACCATAGTATCTTATTCTCTTTGATATAATATTTGGTTTAATGCTTAAAACTAATCCATATATATATGACCTTCCTCTCTATGCCATATGTTGTTAAGGTTTTAATTAAGTTGGATATTTTGAGGAACTTTGAGGTTGTATTATAAAAAAATAGATACATACCAAAAACACCTTTTTTTTAGATTCTTAAATTTTGCTAACATTGTCATCCATGATCAATTAGTTGAGAATTACTTCAAGCTAACTATATCCTTACTCAAGTAAACATATAAAGCTTTAGTTGCCAAATGAA